TAACATGTTTCTGCAGCAACCAACAATGGACAAACACTGACTTTAGATAGAGCCTTTCACGTTTTTTTTTTGTTTGATGGCCACCGTAGTTTCCACTACACTTGAGGTGAGAAGTTTCAGTTGGTTGCAGTCTCACCGCTAAATGCCCTGAAATCCTACACATCGGCCCCTTAAGTGAAATCAAGGATCACTCAAGACCAAATCACTCTAATTGTAACTGTATTCAATTGTAACACCATAGCATAATTAACTGAATTCATCGCAGATGCGTGCAACCATCATTATGAATGGTGTGTCATGACTAAACATACAACAGAACACAACAGCCACCTCAAACATTACCTAAACACCTTAGTGAAGGTCTGCGTTCTCCAAGTTCTAGTAGATAAAGTGGTTTGGTTGTTCAGTCAGCTTTGAGTACAGCGTTTGAGTTGAGCTGTTACTGTAGGAGCCAGAAGCTTTTATTGCCTTCCTGTAGTAGTCGGAAGCTCTGGCCATATCTCACTTCCACGTATCATTTCCACCTTCGTGACTCATTGTACTGAAGTCCTCCAGTTTAAGAAGAAACATTAAAGTCTTCCCTCACTTCTCACTTTCCATCCCTCCGCTCAGTCCTTTCAAATCCGTCATCAATCAGAGCTTTTATGTGGGTGATGGAGCCATGCCATGCTTTCGGCCTAGCAAGCAGTGTTGGGCATTTAGCTCAGGCTGGAGTCTAATTTGTTTTGCCTGCAGTGGGCAAAGTAGCTATCAAGGTAACATTATTCGTCAGTGGGGACGGAGCTGTAATGAAAAGCACTCAGATGGGCAGAGGTGCCCAGAGGTCAGTGTAATGGAGGTGTCCTGTTTCAATGAAGTCTCCCAGTGAATGAATAGCTCTCTGTGCACCGGTATGAAAAAAGATTGTGAGCATCAAGGGTATCTCGATGCATAACTTTGCTGAGCAAAGCAGGAAACATTATGTTCAAATCATAAAACATATACACATTTAATTGAAGCAAAGTGGTTTTGGGAGCTTTTTAATGCCCATACATGAAGTGTTGCAAGTATTCAAGGGAACAGACTTTCTTTTATTCAGTTGATGAGACCCAGGCTTTATTTTCTCTCTCTGTACCTGCTTGATAGCAGGGGTTATAAAACTAAGTGAAACGGTTTGAAGGATCTGAGAACGATTAAGGCTGGCTGGTCTGCCTGGTCGATAACAGGAGCTATGATATTTCACCCATCTCCGTGTCTGTCTGTCCCCCCCCCACCACCTGCAGATAACAAGGACTACGACGCTTACCTGTCCTACACCAAAGTGGACCCGGACCAATGGAGCCAGGAGACCCGAGAGGAGGAGCGTTTTGCCCTGGAGATCCTCCCCGACGTGCTGGAGAAGCATTATGGGTATAAACTCTTCATTCCAGACAGGGACTTGATCCCCACAGGAAGTAAGCTCTCTCTCTCACGGCGATGTCACGTTGTGTAGAATGTTTTGTCGCTTGGTGTTGCTCGTGCTGCTCGTGTTGTCAGTGCAGTGGTGACATGCCTTATTTGTGGTTTTCTGTTATGCATCTGTGTTGTGGCATAACTAGACCTGTAAGAGCATCATTGATTTAATCTGATCATTATGAACTGAGCTTTTTCTAACCACGGTGGATCAGTTTACTAGAAGGTGGCATTTAGGGGTTCTTCAGTTTACATTTTTGCAGAAAAATAGGAAAATAATAGGAAACAAAAGTAGAAAGATATCATTTTAGATTATTTCTTTAATTCTAGTAGTTTAAATATGGCACATGGCAACGCATACATCACAGCATGAGAAAAGACACCTAAGACAGAGTGAACAGTTAGCACATCCTTCCAGTGTTGCTGTTCTAAAAGCAGTGATTCTCAACCAGATGTACTTGTATGCAAGGGGTACTTCTGCAGTTTTCAGGTGCTGAGAAGCAAAAAAAAAGCACCGGCACGCTGCTATCTTGCTCCCACTTCTTTGATTCTGCATGTACATGTTTTCAATCACAAATGGTCACTCTCAGGTGAAGCCTGGGAACAAGATAGCAGTGTGCAGGTTTTTTCTCTGTGTTGGTACTTTTACTACAAAAGTTGCCAGCTGAGAGTGAGTGTAGACTTGTTAGCAAGGCAGCAGAGGAGCGGACACAGTAACTAACCTAACCCTGGATAAATAGGTCAAATAGCTAGCTAAAAAGAATAGTTAGAATAGTCACCAAAAAAGGAGTGGATAAATGATTGAAATAGATAAACAATTGAAACAATTAGCTAAAAGCAATAGATTAATGGTTGAAATAGTTAGCCAAAAGTTAGAGAAAAGTAATGAACAAATGGTTGAAACGTCCAACCTGTGTGTGGCAGTAGAACTATGGCATTTCAACTGTATGAAAAAATATTGTAACAACGTCCACTGTTATATAATTAATAAAATACAGTTCAAATGAACACATAAGGAACATGACGGGTGATTGACAAAAGTTGGGAATCACTGCTAAAAGTACCTCCAGACGTGTTTTTAGGTCTTCAAAGTATCCCAGTGTTCTTAGCCCGACCTCTGAAGAACCCCTGAAGTTTAGTTTGGCTTTGTTTTATTGATTTAATGGTTCCCTGCAGTAGTGCTCATGCCGTACAGGGAGGCCATATATTAAGAAACAGGGTTGAAGAGCAACTGATCATGAATCCGACACTAGAAAATGAAATGTTGCGAACTAATCTGTTATAATCACCTAACAAAAGTGATAGACAACATAATAGAAGCTCAATTCACCTGAGAAATGTGCTGATAAAAGATAATAGTAATGGAACACTATGTTATAATTACAGTACAGTTTTTAGCCCGTACAGGTGAATAGATAATTAGATAAATCATACCTGACGGAAAAACTTGCCTGTGTGGTGGAAAGTCATTAAGTACAGTCAAGTACTGCACTAGCGGGAACATTGCACTTACTTTAACAACATGTATTTGACAGTTATAGTCACAAGTTACCTTGCACGTTGAGGTTATTCATACACAACATTTAATTGTCTTATAAAATATGGTACATTGTTATGGACTAAACTACCCACAAGTATATAACAAAATGTGCTTCACCTCCACTAGATGCATCATTAAAATGCTTCCTGCTCTTGATGCATTAGTAATAATGAGGCAATAATATAATATACCTATGGTCTCGGACAACGTTTGAGTTCAGTCCCTGCAGCCATAAACAAGGAATTATATCTATACATAATTATGTAAAAATACTCAATCAGGGTCTGGACTTATTAGTTGGTTTTTCATGTGCCCAAGTATTTAAAATGCATTATATACACTATATAAAGCTTGTGGGAGGTATAATAGCCCATATTACATATGCAGTATAATTGGCAGAACGAGCCTACCCTATTATTACAGTTCATGTTCCTGATCCAGCTCCATACATACTTGTACCTCTGCATGCTGCTGTGTGATGCTGTGAGCTGTACAATCAAAAAGCTCTTTATGCATGGATATTAATGCATGTTGTGCCACAGTATATTTCTAATGGAGCGTCTCTCACATGCCCCGTGCTTATCTTTTGATTAACCCATCATCACAACGATGAGTTTGATAATATCATTATGTTATTAGCCTCCATTTGAATACTTGCATCTGCCTGTCTTCCTGCACATGCCGCCATTACTAATTATGTTCCTCTTCAGTGGCATTGTGCCAAGGTTATAAACTGAATCCCTTGCTGTGATTATGTGCTCGATGCAGGGGGACTGTTGTAATATGGGAAAAATGGCATAAAAATGCAAGGATTGAGAGGAATCTGAAGTGCGTCTACAGCTATTCCAGCTCGGTGGCACAGCTCGCTGGCTTATTGTGTCTATGTATAAACATTTAGTTCCCATTGGGAATGTATTAGCATCTCAACTGTCGATATAATAAAGCATAATCCACAGCTATAGATAAACACAGTTTGGCCATTTGGGTTTCAGCATGTGTCAACAATCCTTCTCCTGAGCTGCTGATAAGTGTTATTCCACAGTATGCTGGATTATTTTTCACATGTGTTACGACCCGGTGGTGGCCGTAACAACATGTTAAACATCTCACCACTCTGATAGGTGTCTAATGTACATTCAGTCTTTATTAACATATAGCAGCGGAAGTACAACCTGGCTGAACTCCTGCCACCAAAAATGAAAGGCTTTTCCTTGTCTTTTTTATGCTACATGTCCCATATTAAACTGGAATAAACTGGTCAGCGCGATTACCGCCTTACAATCGCCAGTGAAACACCAGTTACAGAAACACAGTTTATGCCAGAGCCATGTCCCCACATTGACAGAACTGTTTTTTTTTCAAATGCCTTTCTGCAAATCTTCTGATCATACTTTGAATGTAAATATCTATGTTTAGGTTTCACCAATGATCATTTCCAGGATGACACAAGACTACTTAGAGGTACTTTTTTCCCCAGATTTTTAACGCTCGTGTCAACACACACTGATACTGATTTTCTGACCAAATCAGTCATATAGAAAGTAGTTTTGGTAACAATTTGTAATAAGTCATACTTTTTAAGGCTTTATGAGTTGTTACTAATGGCTTTATTAGTGCTTAATAAGGTAATAGTCTGCTCAGTAATAAGCCTTGGAAAGCTTACTCCATCCTACAATTTATTAACCATTTATAAAGCCATTATTTACAACCTATAAAGCCTTTATAAAACAAACTATTCACTTGCATTAACTTGCATTAAAGATAAGTTATACAGTTTTTTTGGTTTAATTAGGAAATTAGATGTGTGGGGTTTACTGCATCTGAATCAAATAGATATATCACAGAAATAACTTAAAATGTTTTTGTTTTTTTTTGTCTAAACTTTATACTGCTCTACAAAAGCAAAAACATAGTAACTACATAGTCGGTCAAAATCGAGTTATAACCTTTATCTGACTTTCTGACATCTGTTTTACTATATAATTGCACTAATTCAGTTCATGAAGAAAAACAACAACAGCTAAACTCCTGCTAAATGTAGCTAGCTCTGCAGATTTCAATAGCTGTCACTAACTGGCACTAATAAAGTTCATGTGATTTGGTGTTGTTAAGCTACCTTTATATCACATTCTTAAATGTATTAAATTGTAAATGAATGTACAGTATTACATTGATTTCAATAGAAATATATGAAACATAGGAACATATTGAAGTTGATTTTTTTCTGAACAAACTAGTTCATATACATAAGAAAGCTGAGAGACCACATACTGCAGATTATCAGAGTGCCATATCTGAGTCTGTATTGTATGGGTTCTGTGGTAGTGTTTGGGAGACAAGACTCAACCTAAAAAGACACTAAATGAAAGCATTACAACCTCTCAGGTTAACAGTTTGCTGTCAAGCCTGAAAACTTAAAACCCTTTTTTCTCAACTTCACTGCTTCTGTAGCTGCTGCGCTGTGCCAGTGTAAAGCAGCATAGCTACACATGATCCCACCAACCAGACATCAGACACTTCTTTCCACCTGGAATCAGGACGCCTCCTGCGTGTTTGAAATTCAGGTGTAAGCACAACCTATAAAAATCACATCAAGGCACAATCAGGACAACAGAGGCATGAGCTGAACTGAAGGGAGGAGATGAATTTCAGATGAATTTCATTGGGGTCTTTTAGTCTGTTGTGTAGTGGCTCAGGAGAGTTGTAAGTGAAATGTCACAACCTCTAATCTTCCTCTGTGGCTGTTCTTTGCTGGAACAAAACTGGAGTTACTGGTGCCAGCAACTCAATTTGAGCAGATTTCTGCTGCGTGGAAGATTGAAGTCAGAATTTCCCAGCTGTTAAATTACATCCTCATTGCAAGTCAATGGGTTACTGGTGAAAACGAGAAATAAAATATGGAGGAAAGATGGCTGGAAAGGTTTTCACTGACTGACTATAGATGCCATTCTAGCTACTTAACCCAGGTAACTAAATACAACTTTACATTTCAAATTACTTGTTAGATAGATCAGTATCAACATTGGCCTAACACAGACATATCTTATCAGTATCAAAGTATATGTTTTGCTTATATATATTGCACAAAAAAATAAATGAATAAAAATTCAAAGTATGCTGGAGAGAAGAAGGAGCTCTGAGCAATGTCAGCTAGAATTCTATTAAAATTTTTTCGTCCGGAGTTTGAATTTCTGGCAGTCCGTGTCTTTATTAGTTGTCACAACGGACTTTTCCCATTTAACAAATTTGAGAGAAACTATAGAGAGCAGGGGCAAAAGTGATTTTCTGCCTCGTGTAATTTAGCGTTGATTTTGTTTTTATGTAGACAGGAATCAATTATTACACTTGCAACACTTTGATTGTAAAGCTTGTGAGGTCTCTGAAAGGAGGAATTTAATCTATAAAGCTATAAAGTGTTACCAGACAGCACCCCAAGAGGGCAGATTTACTCTCAATTTAATCAATTCAAAACATAAAATGAAACTGCGACTCATTAGCTAATTATATAGTTTCCATTTATTCTTATATTTGTTTTATTCATGATGAGATAAAAACAAAAACTTGTTTTTGCCTGATTGCTTTGACCCAAACTGAACAGGCTCCAAGCCTACAGGGGAGTTGTAGCTCCGGGGACGCACTGTGACGAATCACCGCATGAGGACCGATTACCAAACAGCAAAGAGATTGACTTGTCATGTTGAAGCAAAGGGCGACTTCAAATCCAAGTTTACTCTAATCAGGCCCCTCTCATCGCGACGCCTCGGGCAGAGCGCGACATGAAAGACGGGAGTTCATTCTCAGAGATATGGGGGAGAGGACAGAGAGGAGACGTGGCGTTTGTTTGCTGCAAGATATTATTCACACACACACACACACACACACACACTCACACACTCGCCGTCTCCTGACTTAAAGAGAGAGGAAGGAAGGAAAACAGAAACACAATTTTTCTTCACACACACTCACACAAGAGGGTCATAAGCTTTGATTGCGAACTGAAGCCCAGTTAATCCCGTCTAGCTGCTGTTGAGGAGCCACTCTGTCTTTGTCTCCGCCAAGAAAGGCTAAAAGCAGGCATTAGCTACACACACACTTAAACACACACACTCTCCCCCCACCTCCTCCTCTTGACACCCAGGACAGTGCTGGGGAAACACAATCATTGTTACACAAGCAGCTGAGCTACTCATTAGGGAGTTGAACACAGTTCTGTATTTACTGTAAACTCAGACTAATTTTATCTAAGTTAGGCTCACACAGGTATCTTGTCGGCTTTGAGTGTTTTATGTTGTCATGTTATAGTAAAACCACGTGATGCCCTTCCACTTGTTTTTGTCTATAACTCTGTACAAAACTGCTGCAGAGGCTTTAGATGTTTACTTAAGTTAGAATACATAATAAAAAACTACTTGATCTTCATTTTGTGTATCGGTATCCTCCTGTCAGACTGTGGAATAAATTAGTTAATGTAGAGTTTAGAGTTCTCTAGATTAATTTAAACGACTTCTTAAATCTTTTTTTTTTTAAATCACACTTTTCCATCTTAACGTTAATTATATTTGGTTTTCTGAAACTTTGATAAAACGGAGTAGTTTGGTGAGCAGTCACAATGAGGCCAAGAGAGTTCTTCAAACAGCTGCTGTGATATGTTTCATCGTATTCCCATCACCCGTTAGCTCTGTGTACTTTCATGTACACTTAAAATTATCCAGTAAATAAATACAAGCCAGCAGAGATAAGTCATACAGACAGAGATATGCTTTTCATTTGTACTGCTGTATTTATACAAAGTTATCCATCTATCTCTGTGTATCCAGCCTACATCGAGGACGTAGCGCGCTGCGTGGACCAGAGCAAGCGCCTCATCATCGTCATGACGCCCAGCTATGTCGTGCGGAGGGGGTGGAGCATCTTTGAGCTGGAGACGAGGCTGCGCAACATGCTGGTGACCGGCGAGATCAAGGTCATCCTGATCGAGTGCGCTGAGCTGCGCGGCATCATGAACTACCAGGAAGTGGAGGCCCTCAAACACACCATCAAGATGCTGACGGTCATCAAGTGGCGCGGGCCGTCCAGCAACAAGCTCAACTCCAAGTTCTGGAAGCAGCTGCTCTACGAGATGCCCTTCAAGCGCATGGAGCCCCTGAGCATCTCCCACGAGCAGGTGCTGGACGTCGCGCGCCAGGCGCCCCTTCAGCGAACTCCAGTACCCGTCCTCGGCATCTCCATGGCGGCAGCCACCTCCACCGCCATGGCGACGGCACACCCGGACTTGCGCTCGACCTTCCACAACTCTTGCCACACCCAGATGAGGCAGAAACACTATTACCGTAGCTACGACTACGACCTGCCCCCCGGCGGCACGCTCCCGCCACTCTCCTCTCTAGGCAACCAGCACACTTACTGCAACATCCCCATGACGCTCATCAACGGACAGCGGCCGCAGTCCAAGTCGCCGCGCCAGCAGAGCCTGGAGGAGGCCCACGGCAACAACGCCATGCTGCCGCTGCTGCCCAGAGAGACCAGTATATCCAGTGTCATCTGGTGACAGAGACGGCGCTAGGCGGGATAGACTGTGGATCTATACGATGTCCGTCACAGGGAGGACTCACCACTGGCACTTGGACCCTGAATGCACCGGAGCCAGATGGACCTGAATGGCACTAAGCTACTTGCTGCTGTTGAATTTGCACCAGGAAACACCAGGGGGAGGGGAGGGAGGACGGGGCGTCAGACACACTGGACACATTGGTGATGGAGGTGGTGGCAGATTTTTCTTCTTTTTTTGTTTTTGTTTTTGGTCCAATAAGAGCTTTTATTAAAACTGAACAACAAAAAAGAAGCAAGGAGAACTTTTTTGTATGCCTGTATAAACACTCACGTAACACAAGCCAACACCTATGATCATTTACCCAGAGAGTCAAGGAATACAGGGTCCTGTACATACGTTTTTCTAATTCTTTGTAGCATCAGTGTTTGGGACTTGTTTCTTGTTTATGTTTTAACATCAGTTGGGACTCGTTTTTAAATTTCTTTTGTTTAAAAGTGAAGCAATGGCCTGTGAGATGTTTTGGATAAACCGTTGTTACCTTTATCTTAATTTGTTGGCTGGTGTAGTTTATAAAGCTTTTGGGTTTTTCCGGGGGGTGGGTGGGAGTCAAAGTCACAGCCTTCGGGAGATGAGAACGATTTGGTTTGGATTTCCAAGGGTTTCAGCTCCACTGGCTGCTGTAAGGGTTGAGAACTGGACTCTGGACTCAACCAGAATATGCAAACTATGGAGTCCAGAGAGCGGAGAGAAGATGGGTTTTCCAAATCGATCATATTCCAACGCTTTCAGAACAGTCATATCTTTGAAGGGGGATATGAAGAATATGGTGCTAGGCTTCACATCTCTCTGTTTCTCTCACGATAACATTTACTTTTAAAAAAACAGCCTTGCTCTTTACCTTAACAGATGAATATATCACCGAAAATTAATTATGTGTATTATTTTATGAAAAAAGAAAAGTCTATTTTTGTAACTGAGGGATATTTGCTTAGAGAAGTTATACCTATAAAGTTTCTGTCAGAAGGAATTTGGGAAACATAATAAAAAAAAAACAAGGTTTTGTTATGTGGAACTGCACAGCTCACGAAAATCGATAGGTCGTTCACTAAATGTCTTACCCTTATATTGCAAGAGAAAAAATAAGTTTTTTGTGTTTTCATCATTAAAAAAAAGCAGTTTTGACATTTCAAACGCACCACTACTGATTGCAGCTCAGCGGGCTTTTTATGTTCGTTGATTTAACAGCCATCGCAGCGATTCGTGGTTGATTTAACAAGGACGGAGCTACACTATCGATGATGTCAGTACAGATGGAGGAGCCTTGACATCCAGTGTCACCTGAAGCATTTACTGTACCTGGTTTCCTCCGTAGGACCAAACAAGGCTGTCCAGGGCTAAACCATTATCTCTGTTATTCATTTCCTCTTAAATGACAGCTCTGTTATTTCTTTGCCATCCGGCTTGTCAACGGAAGTGATTTGTCAGTTGAGTTACGCTCTATAAAATAGGGCTTTCACATCTCGGTTCTGAGCACTTTGAGTCAGCACTGCTGCGAGATGTGGGAATACATTGACTATAATGATGAAGAGTTTCATTCCAAAAAGAGTCTGAAAACGTCTGAAACACCTTAAAACAGTTGCTGACTTCATGATGAACTTTTTTGAATTTTATTAATGTTTAGTTATTCATGTTAAAAAAAGTAACATTTTTAGAGGGTGTAATCGTTTATATTTTTGAGCTACTTACCAGTAATCATCATGGGGTGTCTTCTCAAAGCCTTTTAGAATGAAACCCTTCAAAATAAGATGTAATTAATGCTCAAGAGTGACAAGAAAGTGTTTTAAAATGCAAATGAGATCCTAAAGTATATGGAACAATACAATAGAGATGCTACTTAGAGCGAGTTAGACCAAAGCAAGCTACAGTGAACCATTATCCATTCACAAAACAGTCTTTTTTTTTTGTTTGTTCCTCTGAGGGGAAGCTTCCATCGCGGTCGGTACGATTTTATCAAATCATACGAAACAAGAGCTATTCTCACATTTCCACTGAGACCTGTGAAGGCGGCCTGTATGCTCACTCCTCTTGCAGCTGTGCCATAATATTTGTTTTTCAAGAAACTAACCTCATACTAAAAAATACCTGCAGCATCTCATAACGTAGAGATGTTTCATTTAGTGCCATAAAATATGCAAAGTGAGGAACTTGTAAACAATAAATGAAGAATTGTGTTTTTTTCCCTCCCCCTTATCTTCTTGCAATCTTCAGTTATTGCTTTTTTGATTTTGCTTTTACTGAATATTTCAGAACAGGCCTGACATTTCTTAAAGTTTCAAAGAGGATCAGCCCTCTTCATGCTTCAGGAGATCTTTCAATCAACCATTAGATTATTACAACCAGGCCTGTTTTTATCCACCTTCAATCAGACCTCCCCCCCACCCCCCTATGAAAAGTAAGATTATGGATTACGTTCAAGAGCACCGTTTCTAAACAGAGGAGTTTGTCGTGCTCTATGACGTGAAGTTGTGTAAATATAACAAAGACAATAACGTGATTAAGATGAAGACAATCGAGCCATATTCATGAAACCAATGGTCATTATTCAAAAGGCCTCTCAAAGTAGAAATACTAATCCCATCTGGAGGTAAACGTGTAGAATCGATGAGGTTTTGACAGGGGTTTGGCGACGGCGCTCCTGTGAATGCAAATGTTTGCATTTTCTAAGTGGGGCGATACACATTTTTGTTTCATGATGAATTGAACATTTCTGGCGACTTGGCTTTGATGATGATGAAGATGAGGATGAATAACAATGACAATATATAGCACAGAATTATTCCAGGCACTTTCACGACTCTTGAGACGACGTCTCTCCTGTTTCTGATTTATTTTCTATTATGTATCTGCAATGTTCATTAAAAGAGATACTGTTATTATTAATAAAACCACATTTACGGTAATGTGATTCCACGGTCCCGTGTGTGTGTATGGAGAGTGAGAGCGCTGTATTTGTTTGCAGAAAAACGCCACCCGGATCACTTTGTTTATGGAGCAGTGGCATAGATTGCTGACGATGCCCGGATCCCGTTTTCCTGGCGTGGAGCCGATGCGGGCCCCAACCGCCATAACTCTGCCGTCTCCCGTAAAAACCTTGAAACAACAATCAATACGTCTCCTTATTCCCCTCAGAGACTGAATCAGCCCGGCCTCATTTTGGAATAGAGAAGACTAAATCAGGAGAGTCGATGCATTGCAAAACACACTTGAAAAAATCCTCGTGTCCGGATTGTTGTCTGACCTTAGTGCGCTTTTGGCTGCAATCACAGGAACAGCTGGCACAGACAGACTCCAAGAGCAGGAAATGGATTTGTTGTTTAAAAGATAGAGCCCTCATTTTATATTTTAAAGTTCTCCACCAAACACAATTAAGACTTATGTAAAGTCTGCTGGAACAATAATGGGTGTCTCTTAAAGTTCCTACATCAAACTTGTACAAGTTGTATACTGTACCAGTGGAACATGTGTCTGGAATTCAAGTGAAGATGTAGAGACTTAGTCCAGTGAAAACTACAGGCAAGTTTGTTCACTTAAAATGTCACATCTAATGTCTCGAAGAAAAAAGGATCCTTTATCTTCTAACGTTCTTAGAGGCAGATAAACAATCTTTCTTCCCCTCTGCCTCAGTGCTCTGCCTTTAGTGTAGCCATTTACTTACTTTGCCGTGATCAAAGTAACAGCATTGGAGAGCAAAGAAAAACAAAGGGACATGGGGAAGAATCTTAAAATACTGCCAGACATCTTAATTAGCCTCAATGTGCTCTTGTTGAATGATGAGAAGTTGGTCAGAACATCCCTCTCTATGTATTCTTGAAATGTTTAAAAGTGTAAGTATTGTGGCTCAAAATGCAGCTTTAAAGAGAACAGATGTTTGGTTTTCATCGAAATGAAGCACTTCAGCCTGTAAATGTCATTGATGAGTTCTCTAGCTGAGGGTTGCTTGTAGCTATTGCCAGTAAAATCTGCATAATAGCATAATTTAAAAAGCTCCCATATGAATCCTCTGTGGAAATGAGGTTTTTATACCTAAACCTATTCTTAAATACCACTGTTCACTACCGACAAAGTAGTAGCCATGATTCTGCTGCTCATATCATATGTCAGCTCTGCTGCAGATACAAAATACCAGGCTTCAGGCACAACTTGGATCACCTGATATAAAGAAATGTGAAGTCACTGAATGCTTCTGATTTGTGACACTTAAAATGAACCATAAAATGCCATGATTATAGTTTTCTCACACATCCATACACCAGCTTCTTGGCTTACCCAATTCTCCCCACAGTGACGTCAATTCATGTGCGCTGTTCTCAGAGCAGTTAAAGGAATTGTTAGACATTTTGGGAAATA